CTGTAGCCAAGAGTGCATCAGATATCCTTTTAAACATCTTTTATTAGTAGCTGTGAATTTATTTCCCTCACAATTATGCAGTGAAATAACGTATTCGTTATTTGTGTCTTCAATGTGTATGGGTGAATGGACATCATCTATGCGGCAAAGAGTCTACTGAGGTCAAACATGTGACATCTCTGAATATTCACCGATGAGTTTCTGTAACTGTGCGATTCAGATGATGGTAGCAATCTATCTGAAAGGAGTTTCATTTCAGCCTCTTTGTTTTTGCCTGTCTTGTTACTTTATTCGCCCTAACTACCCAGCACAGATGGTATTGGCTGACGATAACTTCTCCACTATTGTGGCTGCTGTGGAAGAGGGACGTGCAATCTACAACAATATGAAACAGTTCATTCGTTATCTGATCTCCTCAAATATTGGTGAAGTAGTCAGGTAATTTAAGTTTTAAGTTCCTCACCAACGTAAAGCAAATGACATTTTTGAGACTTGTCTAGATATTGAATGTAACATTAACAAAAAACTGTCAGTAACAATAATTGCGTCATAATTTATTGATGAAGCAAGTATTGCCCTTGTGTTGTGCAATAAAACTCAAATCAATGTTTTGCTTCATTAAAACTTGTATATTGTAGAATACTTTATTTTCGCTGAAGGGAAATAAAATCCAGCAAATATACTTTTTTCCCTATATTTCACATTAAACTCGTCAAAAAACAGTGAAAATAAATTCCATACAAAATGCCCAAAAAGCCTTTTCAGTGAAAATTAATTCCAGCGAAAATAAAGTATTTCACAGTATTACAAACTGAAATGTGTTTAATTTATATAATTGCAATCCTTTCTTCATTCTGTACATCTTTTGTAGTGAATGCAGCCAAAGTCAATTTTTGGTAATTTTTTGCAAAATAAATCTTCATTTTTTTTTCACATTGTCTAAAATGTGACATCTTAATTTTTAGAAAAACTTATTGCAATCAAACAGATTAAAAGAACATGTGTTCCCTACTCTACAGTATTTTCCTAACTGCCGCATTGGGTCTTCCGGAAGCTCTGATTCCTGTACAGCTTTGTGGGTCAACTTAGTAACAGATGGTCTGCCAGCCACCGCCCTTGGATTCAACCCCCTGACTTGGATATCATGGAGAAGCTACCCCCGTAGACCTAAAGAACCCCTCATAAGCGGATGGTTGTTCTTCAGATATATGGCTATTGGTGGTAAGTATATGAATTATTAAAATATAACACTGGAAACTTTTTCCTATATAATGTAAAGTTTTAAAGTTAATGGCAAAAAAACAACTTACAATAACTTGCATTTTTTCACTTGACATTTGTTTCATTATATTGAATAATATAATGGAGGATTTGTGTACTGAAAAAGCAGTAATACATTGACAGGAAGCTTGAGGGATTTGTCAAAAGGTTGATTTTACTCATCGTAGGATTGTATGGACTCGTACACGAGGTGATAACAATAAAATAAAACAATACAAATATCGAATCTGACATGGTGAAGTGACCACCATCCTTTAACTAAAGCTTAAACATGACTTAAGTTTTCGAAATCCACTAATATTTTATAATATCAATGATAACTAGTGCAGACAGTAGTTATAAACATTGAAACTACTATGCAAGCAAATTTGTATGCAACTAATTTTTTTTTTCTCATCAGTCTACGTCGGGTGTGCTACAGTCGGTGCTTCAGTATGGTGGTTCACTTTGTATGAAGGCGGTCCTCATCTTTCATATTACCATCTGGTGAGTTTTTACTACTGTCTGGGAGGGGAGTGGGTGGGCGGGCAAGCATGCGAGTTGTTGGGTCTGTGTAGTTTGGTTTCAATTCTTACATAGACAAAGCCAATTCCTTGAAAGGGGAAAACCTCCTGAGCTTGTGCTGTTGCTGTTGGTGGGGGTGGGGGTGGCAGAGGCAGCGATTCTGTTTGAAATCATTTCATTTAATTCAACTGAGCTTATCTAGTGAATGGCACTAGTTTCTAATGATTCATGAATTTCCATTATGGTAAAAGGTATACATTTTATAAGAACGATTCCGATCAGATATCGTATCAACGTACACTATGTAACCATTGGTTCTCTGGAAAATATTAAGCGTGACAACTCATCACAAGGAATGAGAGGTCAGATACAGGTGGCTATGAATAAATAAAATGCAGCATGGATATTCAGCAACCTTTCTTGGAATCTTTTTAATTTTTTTGTTTGTCGGGCATCAGCTCAAATACAGGGAAACCTACATTTTTATAAAATTGGTGTAAATTTGGATACATTGGATGTACTTTTTCAAATTACAATTGCTTCTTTACATCGCAAATAGTTGTGTTATGTACCGTATATACCAGTTATTATAGGTGCATAAAAAAATCTTGTCACACATTGATCATTGTTAATAATTCACAATGTTTGTGTTAAAAGTTTTATCTCTTTCTTTCCTTTCTTCATTTCTAGTCTCATCATCTGCAATGTCCACTGGAACCTGAATTATTTAAAGGTGTTGACTGTGAAGTGTTTGAAGATCCTCACCACATGACGATGGCATTGTCTGTTTTGGTTACAATTGAAATGTTTAATGCTTTTAACAGGTAGTTACCGGTATTATTTTAAGGTGAAAAAAAAAGAAAACATTTTTATGGGGAACTCCCAAATGTTTTTAATGCTCAATATGGGTGTAAATTAGTTCATATTTTCTGTAAATTTCACTGAATAGTATTAATTTTGGGTCAAACACGACACTTCTAGTTTTTGATCAAACAAATTTTATGTAAGCATTTTAAGTTAAAACGAGCACACTTTAACTATTTTGAAGATGGGGACTGTGGTTGACTGTGGTGCTCAATGAGTTAACCTAGAAAACTGAATCAAGTTTTGCCAAAAATGTTTATTGTAAATATTGCATAAACATCAAGAAATTAAATATTTTCCCAGGATTTTATCCCCCCCCCCCCCTCCCTGTAGAGAAAACAATTTTTCAAAATAACAACAACCCTTTTTGTCTATTTTCTTGCACAGTCTGAGTGAGAACCAGTCATTACTGGTGATGCCCCCATGGCAGAATATCTGGTTAATCCTAGCCATCGCTCTCTCTATGGCTCTCCATTTCTTTATTCTTTATGTTGATTTCATGTCGGTAAGTATCCTAATTTTGTTAGTTCTATTATTCTGTTTGCTGCAGAGGAAACTTTTGTGGGTGTGCTGTATTACTGTAAAAACTGACAAAGGAGAAATTAACATGAATAGTCCAGTTCCACTTTTAAGTTAAAGAAAAAAAAAAAAATGTTTTTGATCGCCAAGGCTGTTGCGCTAACAATGTTGCTTGGCTCCATTTATCTTGTGCTCATTAACAGAGTGGCGGTAATTATTGTTTTCAAAATACTAAAGAAACACAAAGTTTTGCATGTGATTACAATGACGTTTAATTCAGATCTTTGTACTTTTTTTTCCCCTCAGATTGTGTTCCAGATCACTCCACTCAACGTGGCAGAGTGGATGGCAGTGATCAAAATCTCCTTCCCTGTAATTCTATTAGACGAAGTGTTGAAGTTTGTGGCACGTCGTATCGCTGATGGTAAACATCCTTTTGCAGATATTCATTGGCTAATTGCCATCATGGTTCCTCTCATTCTTGCCCTAGTATACTCACCAATTTAGTGCCCTCTGTGTCTGCTTTTTTTGTATACATATATACTTGTAATTCTCTCTTACGGTTGAAGTAACAATAGCTTGTCATAGCAACTAGATTTTCACTTCATCTAGACCTCATTGTTTTAACCCTCATCTTTTGTACAGTAACTTAAAACAAAAATATTAATGAGACAAATATTCTAATTCACCTCTAAGGGCTGCAATCATTCAAACTGTATTTATCGTGGGGTGGGGGGTGACTACTTTTTAAAATATATTAGTGTTAGACTCCTGAATTTGTTTAAAAACTGTTTTCACAAGATATTAATTTGACTATGCAGTTTTAAATTTCCAATCACATTCTCTCCCTTGATTGCTTTTGATTCAAAGATTATAACAAAAATTACCCTATTAATTTTTTAGGTTATAGGAAAGCATTTAATGTCACTATTTTTTAGCATTACTAAAAAAGAGTTTTGCTTCTTCGGCATGTGTTGCTCACAGTGAAAATGTATGAAAATAGTAAACAGGGTAGTGTAATGTTTCAGGACTGTTTATTATTCATATTTATTTAAAAAATTATAGTTTTAATTTATCTTGTTGCTTGCTTAAACTAAATTACTTTTTTTTTCCCCAATCAATTTTGAGGATAAGTTTTAGATCAAATATTTTTTTAAATTTTATCCAAAAAAGCATTAGGGTAATAATTGACTGGAGAATACTTTCAAACTAACACATCGCTCATTTGCTGACTCTTTCCACTGCTTTTCTTCTAAAAACAAAACAAAACAAAAATTATGTACAGACTGATTATACTGGCCCAGTGTAGTTTTTTATTTTTTCTATTTTTCTGTTGCTTGTGATTTTGATTTCCCCCTTTTGTTGAGTGTTTGTATTGGATGCACTTGAATGCTTGTGTAAAACACACTCACAGAAAAAAAATAGGTAAATTGAGCCGATCTGTTAGTTTGCATGTTTACTGTTCTCACCCTAAATAATGTGAAGTTTGAATCACTTGTGCGTGCAACTTGTTTTTAATATTTGATTCCTTTTCCTTTAACTGTACTAATGTTAGAAAAAACTTGTAGTGGAAAAAAAAAAAATCATCAGCATTGTATTTAGTCCTCCCATGATGCATCATTGTATAGAGCATGCTCAGTGGAGGTGATGCAAGACTAATTGAGCATGTGCTGATGAGCAGTGCATGATGGGAAAATCGTATAATTTTAGTGTGTAGCTTAGTGTATACTCATTTACAATGTGACAACAAGAGACAAGTTTTTTTCCTAATGTATTGGTTTTTTTCCACTCCCTGTACATGTTCGAGAAATCTTTGGAAGTTGTAAATAAAATTGAGAGAATGAGATGGCTTCTTTCGTGAAGCTGTTGGTTTGATATCATAATGCTTTGTGTGAACTGTCTTTCTGCTTATAACCTTTCATCTCTGGAGGAAATACATAACATACCTTCATGCATGAAACCTAACATTTAGGAACACAAGACAGCTGCTGTTCCATTTACAACGCCCCTTCCCTCTAGAAGATTTCATGCTTAATACCCCGTAATTGGTCATGGTGTTATGGCTCCCATACACATAACAGTATTTGCCTGCAGTTTACCTTTTGAGCACAAATGTCACCTTTTGTCACCATTCACAGAATAAACCTGCATCATTTTGTTCATATTTTTTCAAGAGAATTTGAAGTTCTGATTAGAAATTGTTCAATTGATTGAAAAATACAAATGCGCACAGAAAAAATTATGGTGCTCGAAGGGTTTAATAAAACTCAACTCAACTCAACTCAACTCAACTTGCCCAGCCTGCTGTGGTGTATGAGCAAGTAAGGTAACTTACTATGGCAAGGTAACTACAACAAATGATGCTGACGTTCTGTTAAATTTGTGGCATTGCAAAATATGCGTTGTGCGCTTGAATGCCGTTGAATGAAACTACTAACTTGCATGTAGTTCATATACAATCAAGATAATCACCATGTAAATTTAATTCGACCCTCATGACCGTACAACCCCCAACATCTCTCGTCTATTGTTGTCACACTGTTATTTATGTCTGTTTTAATAACATATATCGTTGTTCGTGTTGTCAACATGAGTGGTTTTTTATGTTTGCACTCGCATAACTTATACAAAGCCGCTTATTAAATTTATTGTTTTTTTTTTTGTAAAACCAAGATTATACATTTATACAATTTGATAAACTCATCTAATCATATTCTGTTTGCGTTTTATGCAAAACTGATTGTACATTCTACAATTTCTCCTGAAAAGTTACAATTTAAATCTGTATGCTGCTAACAAGGCAGGGGTCATGGAGTCTATCATGAAAAAAAAAAAATCAATCTTCCCCAAATTATATATTTAATGTTGTCACTCGTGTGTAAAACAACACAACAAAACTGGACATTGCTATAGTGCTACCAGTTTCATGAAATCTGACTACCAAGCTAAAACGTTGATTTGCGAGCCAATGATTCTTGAAACTGCGATCCATTGATGTTCTGAAATAGTTTATTATTGATGTGTGCCAATAGTAATCGTATAATTTCTAATTGAATGGTGAATTTTTTCCCTTGTCAAGTTAATGTATACATTCAGATGACAATTACATGGTTACTGTGTGGTCATATAAATAATTACTCAAAGTGCAAATTTTGGAATTTAGTCTGGACGTCCTTTGATCCTACTAGTAAATTACTAGATAACTTGTGAGCCATGACAACTGTTCTGTAAAGATTTTTCCCCCCCATTTCATCAGATTTCTTTTGCATGCCACTCTTTATCTCTTTTTTTTCTTATCCTAAGAGCATCCCATTTATTTTTATTCTCACAAACTTCAATGTATATTTCACTTCCATCGTGTGTATTTCAAGTCTTTTAACTCTTGATTTAATAACTTTACTTTTCTAAATTTTCTTGCTTTTCTGTCATTAACCTTTTGGTTGCTCACCAATTTTATTTTCCTGCTTTTCACTTTCTCTGTAAGTACACACGTTTTCTTTCTTTCTTTCTTTCTTCTTTAATCTTGGATTTCACACTTGTTTCTGGCATTTGCACACAGGTTTCATTTGTAATTTTTCCAACAATCGTGAGCAGCAACAAGCGATGAATACATTCAAGTATCAACTGAACCCCAAAAAAATATCAATTGACAATTTCGTCAAAAAATATTGAATCGTAATTTTGGTAGCAAATAAATGTTTGCATTTTTTTTAAAGGAAAGAATTTTCTCTACTGTTTCTGCTAATGGTTGTGTAATATTTTTTCTTTTAACTTGGTGTTGGATTGACTGTCTAGCTTCGTTTTCGTTTGTGTTTGTAACTTAGAACACTACGTGTCTTTTCTTTTTTTTTTTTCTCCCTCCAACCCTGCTCTCTCCCTTCTGCATTCAACTTCGCCAGTGCCAGCTATGCCAGAGGACAAGAAATACAAGTAAGTTCAACTGGAGATGGGCGGATGAACACATTGATGGAGCCTTGGATCTGTGCAGATGTGATTTAAAGGTGCGAAGAGAAACCAAGGAACACTCATGATCTATGCATTTAAATTGTTGGACCATTTAAAAAAAAAAAAAAATGTAGGTATAATGTGAATGCAAAAACTGACATCCTGAGTGATATACTAGGACTTTGTTTATTGGTACTAGCATTTAAAATCTGATGTGAAAAGCAATCAAAAGCTACCCTGGTTAGCTTAATAGATTTCTGCATTTGTGTGTTTACACGATATGCAATCAAAAGCTACCCTGGTTAGCTTAATAGATTTCTGCATTTGTGTGTTTACACGATATGCATTTGAAAGCTAACCTGGCTAGCATATGAAAGCTAACCTGGCTAGCATATGAAAGCTACCCTGGCTAGCATATGAAAGCGATGACGAGCATTCAATAGCTAGCCTTGTTGGTTTATGGAAAGCTACGATGACGAGCATTCAATAGCTAGCCTTGTTGGTTTATGGAAAGCTACGATGACGAGCATTCAATAGCTAGCCTTGTTGGTTTATGGAAAGCTACGATGACGAGCATTCAATAGCTAGTCTTGTTAGTTTATGGAAAGCTACGATGACTAGCATTTGAAAGCTGCTTGTCGACGCTCAACAGAAAGCTAATGTGGCTAGCCTTCGAAGGTACAAGTTGACTGGCATTATATAGCTACCCTGGTTAGCATGTGGAAAGCTAATGTGGCTAGTTATGAAGGAAGTTAATGTGACTTGTCTCCATATTGAACGTTTGACAGTTGATTAACCTGCAACCATCTATCACATGTAGAACCATGAGAAAGAAAAATACCCTTTTGAAGGAGCAGTAAAAAAAATTTCAGTTTTAAATAGGACCATAGCAATAGATCATTTTCCATGGAAATCTTTTTAATGTAGTATATTATAAGAGTGTTTAATTTATTGTCTGTTACATTTGACAGCAGTAGTGTTTTTTTATTCACTTAAAAATGTTAGAGACTTGCTCTTTATACCAATTCTTTCGAATTTTACAGTTCTTTTGAACTTGTTACCAAGCAATAAAAATACTACCAGTTGAAGACGAGAGGAGATTTATTTTGATGCTGAGGGAAGTTGTCAACTTTTTTATGGCTTCCTTTACCTCATTAATATTTTTTTTCTCCATTGCCACCAAATAAAACTTTTGAACTTCTCCTCTCAGTCAATTCAGATTACCTCCCCTCCCTCCCGCTTTGCAGCTGTACTGATACCTGTCAACACTGCAGGGAAACCACAAGGCTAAAACAAATATTCACTTTTTAAAGGGGTGACAACAGGGTACTTCTTTGTAATATAAATTGTACAGCCACACTATCACCTTGTGAAAAAAAAAATATTTAAATGTTAGTGTATGGATGGAGCCACCAAACCTTTTCCCGGTGCCAGTGCATTGTCAGAGCTGTGGCGAACTGGTTTTCATGGACGTCATCGCAACTGTATTCAGCAGATTACAAATTGTGTATACATTTGGAATAAATCAAAATACTTTATTGTAACTGATTATCACACCCTCCTTAGTTACCCAGCATTGTAGATTGTCATTGTGTTCTGACATTGATGGAAACTACAAAGTGAAATGTGATGTTTTTGCCATCTTTCGCTTGTGAAAATATCTCTGAATGTAATAATTTCATAAGATTCCTTTTTACATATGTGTTTGTGATTGAGCAGTTGCCATTATCCAGTTCCCACCTAAATAACTTGTGTAAATCGCGCAATGAAAAAAAAAGGGCAGACAATTCAAAATGGCGAGAAGGAATAAAGATGTGCACTGAAAACCAGTATTATAAAAAATAAAAAAAATTACTATTGACACAAAATGGTCAGAAAGCTTTATAAAATGACAAATTTCAGTTCATGCTTATTTCTGCAATCTTTCACCTCCATGATATTGAATAGTTCATCCTTTAATGCAGGCAGATCTATTGTATACCAGTAATTCTGTACTGTAAAAAGTGAACTGTATGTACCTACTCTATTCTTTCATTGCCACTACAACTGATGAGCAGTAAGGTACATTGGCTTCAGACTAACTATTGGGGTGGGGCATTAAAAATTGCTCATTTATAAAGCAAATTGATAAAATATTCAGTGACAAAACTAATGACTAGCATTGTGTGATCAGTACAGCTACTGGGTTACACAACAACCCCCCCCCCCTCCCAGTAGTGTTGTATGTGGCGGCAATTTTGAATTGAAAAATACCATGTATTCAAAAGTACAGGAAATGTAGTCTTTCAAGAAGTTCATCTTGACTGTCAAGTTTCTGCAGCTGCTCCTTGTACCAAATTTGTCGGAGAATGGATTTGAAAGGATTGTATTTTATAGTATCCTCTCTGGAGTTGTGTGATTTATTAGCTTTATATATAAGCAGTGTCCTTGTACAGTTCATTCCTGTCTTTTCTTGTTGTCCTTAAGTAGACCTAACTAGAAAAAAAACAAATTGTACATTACTGGGATTGTTTCAATCACAGTCCCTCTAGAGGGACTGTTTCAATATTCAACAGTATTACTCCCCATTTGATATATTAGATGTATTTTAAGAACCAAAAAAAAAAATTGCACTTTTTTCTAGATCTGACAATTCACATCAAAAAACTATATGTAACATTATTGTTGGAGTCTGCTGTAGTTTTGTTTTTAAAAAATGTTTAAAAATTATGCTTGTTTTATGTATGTTCTTTGGAGATTCAGACTTGCTTTCTGCAAGTTCAATGTGTACAAACCTAAATGATGATTGGACCGAATAGCTGACTGAGAACATATTCTGTAGATAATATTAGTGGGCTCAATGTCTTTCACAAGTCATTTACACAATAAGATTGTATGTTGGAGGACTATAATTTTTTCTTAAAGCTTACAGCGTTTGTACGTCAAGTTTGATATGGGT